GTCTATAACTGCTTTAAGAATGAACAGAATGAACAAAGAAAAACGAAAGTATTAATCTACGATTACTGAGCGACGAAAATTTACATGTCAGCGCCAGAAATTTAAGGAGAAACTACCGAAACAAAAAAGCACGAATCGAAATACGAGACTAATCGGGTCGCTGCATGAACATACATTAACGCAGTAGCGTTAATTACCTACAAAACGACTCATTGTGAAGAAAACATTTTCGTTTATGAGAGTCTGTGTAAGAAAAATTTTGAATGTACAGAAAATGAGAGGAAACTTCAGGATACTAAACATCCTACATTAAGCAATGCTCAGTGCAAAAACCGAAACGTTGAGAAAAAAGAAGGCCCTTAAGATGAATCATAAAGCCTACTGCATATTATAAATATATCATTTAAGATTTTGTTTGCCAGAACACATCATTGGCATACTAACAGGTCGTGAAGAGTATAATCAATTTATAAATGCATGAAATTTTCATTTTTCATGCAAAATTGGAAAGAATGGAGACTAATAATACAAGTTCAATTGTACAAACAATCATTTTGTTGAAAATATTTATAATACTTGTTTGAACTTAACTACAAAAAAGTCGAATATTTCAAATACATACCATAAGTAGAGTGTCGAGTAAAATTTTTCTGATATCCGAATCTTTTTCTCTTGATTTAGCCGGTGGTAAATATTATAAATCAACTGGTAATTCTTTATTTTCTTTTTCAATAAAATCTTCTGGTCCAGCTAATGGAAGTAACAGCGCAAATAGAAAATCATAGTTTTCCTTAAGTAAATGGTTATGATATTCTAAAGGAGAGAGTAACAAATGCTGTCATATGGATCAACTAGATCACTTTAACACAGCATAAAACTCATGCGTATCATGATGAAAACAATATAGCCACACTTCCTCTTCTAATCGTTGAATAAGTGAGAATTCGTAAAACAAAACAATTTTCTAAGCATACTAAAGATAATCCCTCTCCATCTTGCAATAAACGTTTTCGAAATGACTATATTTGAGTTAAATTCGCTAATATAACACTTAAATAATCAAGCTTATTCTTTTTTTTGTTAAAATCAATTGCCAAAAATGCTTCTGTTATATCCTCGATTCATTTTGGATATTTTTCATCATAGTATTTAAGAAAATATTCACCGTTTTCGACCGAATGAGTCATATTGGACAATAGTTTACATGCATCATTGGCATGTTCATAGTCAGGATTCAACAATTTGCTGAGTATTTAAAACCAAAAATTATCTAAATCATAGTTATCATGCACAATCGGCATACAGAGTGCAATTAATGAACATTTTTAAGCTTATCATTTGTTATTTTTGTTGTAAGTACTAATTTCTTAATCGGCTGTTAAATTAGTTAAAAACAATAAACAATTAAAGCGAATAGACTCTCACTTGTCTCCGAGTAACAGTGTATATATTTGTATTAAAAATTTGTCATCCGATTCATCGATTAACGATTGTCGACCTCCTTTGGTGGCTGTTAACGCTAAACATGTGTGTCTTGATAATGCTTTTACATCTAGACGTTCAGTCGGATATCATATTGAAACAGTTCACGTAATGTAAGAGATATTTTATTTGTGGAGGTGTTTGTCATCTAAAAAAGCTATAAATGTGGTGCGCTGTTAAAATGTACTATAATATTCAATAATTTATGGTACTTCAGTAAAATAAACTATATGAATAACAAGAAGTATAGCGCTTGAGTAATACAGAACTGCTATCTAAAATGATTTTCCAGAAAATTCAGTGCAAGAACTCAAAAATCTTAGCATGATTACTAAAGTAAGTACTCATGAGTGGAAAATACTGATCATTTTATGAGCTACATGCGTACGTTCACTTGGGTAAGCACAAACATATCCGTAGCGGTAAAATTCAAAGTTTTAGAATTCAGAGATTCAAGAGTCCTGAGTAGTAAATAGGACTAGGAGAAGCAGATAATAAATGTTGAGAGAAAATGCTTCATCCATACCACAAGTGTGTGAATATTTCACCTGAAGGTGAGGGTGAGGGTCAGATGTTCGAGTCTCAATATCTCAAGACAGGAAAATTCATTAGGATCGAATTTTTTCCCATCGTACTACTATGAGTACATTTTAACAGCGCACCACATTTAAAGCTTTTTTAGATGACTTGAATGCAACATCTATGTTGCTATGACACACTTGTGGTATGGATGAAGCATTTTCTCTCAACATTTATTATCTTCTTCTCCTAGTCCTATTAACAAAAAAGATAATTAGGAGTGTGTCGAAGAAGCAAATCATCGTCAATTAAGTCTTCTACTTAAAAAAGCAATTCAGCCACCCTTCAGAGAAACATGGATTGGCAATCGAGTACTTGCAATATGGAGGGCAAGAGTGCAGGCGACCGAGTTTTGAGCAGAGGCTTGGGAAGGTGATCGGGTCCATAGATAGATGGCAATTTAGCTAGAGCGATAGTCAGTTAGATAGATAGGTAGTTAGGCAAGTAGGTAAGTAGCTGTCGCATAAGCAGACAAACTTGTCAGAAAACACGTTTAAACACACAAAAACCCATAAAATTGGCGAAAAGTGAACATCTATGGATGACAATTACATATCCGGATTGTGAGCGGAAACGCTCATTTCGGCTTTCTATGAGGTCAAATTCGAAACCCGCCGACTTGCATGTTTGCGCTAGCTCCGGTTTTCTCATGGCAAGTCTCTTTAAACTGAAGGACAGTTGATATCCGTTAAGATGCAATGCAATATCGATCTTTGGATGCTAAGAGGGTGAGTTTAAGAGGTTTTTTTTATCGCGCTTATCTACCTCGAAGAGGTTTTTTATACCATTCAAAGTACGTCAATTCTCTCAATAAAATTGTGTAGTTTATCAATGAAAACAAATAGGGCAGCTTAATCCGACAAGGTCTTTTAAGAATGAGATAAGAATGGCAAGTTGTATAACGATTGTATACAATAAACTTCTTGGATAATAAAAGCAGAAATCATAAACGTTTACCTGCATTCATCTTCGACAACCGATCGTGAGTGAATGTTGATGTAAAGAAACGCAATAAATGGTAAAACAGCAGCTAAACGGTGAATCCACACATTTTCCTGTATCCAAAGTGTCTCCATCAACGGAAAGTGAGTGTAATGCGAAGGACTGGAGCCTACATCGTGAACACGCTTTGCGTTATGTTTGAGAGTGAGGGCAGTGCCGTTGAATAGAGAGAAGGGAACACAGTTTTCTCCTGACAATACCATATTCTAGGTCAACAGCGGCAATCATGTCGATTGCATTGGGCCGAATCATCTTGGACAAGATGGATACAGATACCACTGTTTTTGTGGGTGACGCCCGTTCTCTCATTGGCGAATAAACTTAGGCTGGTCGACGATCATCTTAATGATCTTGATATCAAAAATAAATGTTCAATCTTGTTGGAAAGAGTGAATCAATACAATCCTAAATGGCCAGGCACATGGACTGTGTTCAATTCAATATTTTTTAGAGATTTTCTAACCAGTATACTGCTCGTTTTTCCATTCAGTATGGCTCGCATTGCGCAGCCATTACTTATCCGTCAAATTGTTCTCTACATTAAAGATCAATCAGGACTACCAGCTTACTCCGGTTATCTATATGCCATTGGTCTTTGCATTGCTGCAATTGTGCAAGCAACCGCTCAACAGCAGATTATCTTTCGAAATACACGTGTCGGCATGCGAGTTCGTAATGCATTATCATCGGTCATCTATAAGCACTTGTTAACCATCAATACCGCAGCTCTTCACAAGACTACTGCGGCTCAGGCGATTAATTTAGTAGCCAATGATGCCAATAAATTTTCAGAGTTAAGCATTTTCGTGCATGCTCCATTCATGGTACCGCTAGAGATTTTCACAGCGTTTGGTCTCATTTGGTGGATCATCGGTTTACCAACATTATTCGGATATGCAGTACTGCTTTTGTTAATACCGATCCAGTTTATTTTTAGTAAACAATTTGGCCGATACAGAAAGAGCACAATGGCATGTACAGACAAACGTGTACAAGCAATCAATGAACTGGTCAACGGATGTCAAATTATAAAAATGTACAATTGGGAAAAAGCCATGGAGCAACGCGTACTTGAAATACGTCAACAGGAACTTTCAAACGTGCGTAAAGCGAGCAGCTTGCGCGCTCTCAATGTTGCTATTTCCTTTACAGCGATACCTTTGGTTTCTCTTGCCACATTCGGTGGAAGTTGGCTAATGGGTCGAACTATGCTTGCAGAAAATATATTCTCAACACTATCCTTCTTCACAATGGTCCGACTTCCGCTAACAATTACGATGCCGTACTTCATTGAAAAACTCAGTGAAGCACGTGTTTCTGCAAGACGAATCGACCAATTCATGCAACTGGACGTCTTGGTGAATAAACGTGAAACGGCGAAGGACAAAAATATGGATCATGCAATTACAATGGAAGATGCATCATTTTCTTGGAAGGATATTCCTTCTTTGTCTTCTCTCAATCTCAAAATCAGAAATGGTAACTTGGTTGGGCTGAAAGGTGTCATCGGTACTGGTAAGTCCACTCTACTAGCTGCTATTCTCGGTGAGATCAATCTTGTCAGTGGAAAATTACAAGTATATGCTCAATCGATTTCGTATGCTCCACAATCCCCATGGATATTTTCTGACACTGTTCGAGCTAATATTCTACTTGGTAAACCAATTGATGAAGTACGTTACAAGAATGTGATCAAAGCATGTTGTCTTGATATCGACCTACAGAATTTCGGCAAAGTTGGTGATCTATTGATGATTGGTGACAAAGGGATTAATTTGAGCGGAGGACAAAAAGCTCGAATATCGCTTGCTCGTGCACTTTATGCTGAAGCTGACTTATATTTACTCGACGATCCACTTGCTGCCGTTGATCCCAAGGTGGCAAAAAGTATTTTTGATCAAGGCATCGGTCCACGTAGTCTCCTTCAAGGAAAAACTCGAATATTGGTTACGCACCAGACACACTTTTTTACGGAAATAGATCAAATATTTCTCTTAGAAAATGGACGCATCGAAGAATTAGATATTCAACAAGGAACGACAACTGAACCAGCGAATGAAACATCAGAAATAGATTCATCGAACACCAAGGAAACGGATTGGAAACTTGACACTCCTATAACTGACATGAATTCAATTGTAAAGGATGAGACATCCGTCGACGGTTCCATCAAGTGGAGTATTTGGCTAGAACTGTTTACTTCACCTCCGTTACGTTGGTTTGGCTTTTTGCTTATGATTATTTTGTTGCTTGGCAATGAAGCTTTGTACGATTTTACAAATAGTTGGCTTGCTGTATGGTCTAGTAAAGACGAAAGCAAACAAAAATCCTCATTTTATGCTTATGTCCATCTTGGAGGTGTACTGTCTACATTGATCGTTGCGTTAATACGTGTCGGCTATATCATTTATATTATGCTGTGCGGTTCGACCTATTTCCACAATCGAATGCTCAAAGGTATCTTGTACACATCGTTACGTTTCTTTGAAAATAATCCAAGTGGACGAATCTTGAATCGAGCGAGTAAAGATCAACAAGTAATAGATGAATCATTACCCCTGGCTTTAATCGATACTTTGCAATATCTACTACTAACTACTGGTTCTGTCGTAATCATTGGAATAGCTAACCCATGGGTACTTCTGATTCTCATTCCGTTGGCGCCCACTGTTTTGTGGCTTCGTCGGTTTTATATGCGTTCAAGCCGTCAACTCAAACGACTGGAAAGTGTAACGCGTAGTCCTATTTATACGTTGTTCGCCACCTCGTTAGACGGACTCACTAGTATTCGTGCGTTTGACGTTCAAGACGATTTTTTGAAGAAGTTCATCGACCGAATCGATACAAATTCACGAGCTTATTTCATTCTCTCTGCCACTACGCATTGGTTTGGCTTACGACTGGATCTTCTGACATCTTCACTTACTCTGGCTACTGGGATTCTCGCTGTAGCGTTGCGCCATCGGATCGATCCATCGACAGCAGCCCTCAGTATAAGCTACTGCATTACCTTAACAGGTCTCTTTCAATGGGCCATACGCCAATCAGCCGAAGCTGAAAATTTCATGACCAGTGCAGAACGTATTCATGAATACGGTCAACTGCTCCCAGAAAACTATCAGAACGCTAATGACAGCGATGTGCACCTTCAACCAAACAACGACTGGCCTTCTCGTGGTATTATTGAATTTAAAAACTACACTTTTCGCTATCGGCCAGAGCTAGATCCTGTACTAAAAAATCTTAATCTACGAATTGACTCCAGGGAAAAGATTGGAATTATCGGTCGAACAGGTACGATTCTTTCATTTCGTAGATAGACACGAAATAAGTTGAAAACAGGTCGATATAGACCGACGAAAGGCACCTGTTATCAAAAATGAAAATAGTTGAAAGTAGTTCTGCTATATTGACCTTTCTCGAGTCTCAACGCATGACTAATTATAGCCATGCAAGAATTATAATCGAATACGATCATAGCGAATGATTCTTGAAATGCATCTGCCGTATCAAGCTCACTCTGAATAATCTATTTTGATTATGTGACGCTCCTGCAACTGCGGCTGATACTGGAAAATGTATACCGCAAAATGCTGAAGTTGTTCTTTATCAATAGCGCACTCTTATGCCAATCTAGAGTATTAGAACGCGTAATGATAACTCCCTTCATGATGAAATTTCCTTGTCAGTATTTCTTTTTATTCCTTTAGGTGCGGGAAAGTCATCAGTTCTTCAAGCTCTCTTTCGACTTGTCGACCAGTCATCAGTCAATGGAACCATTCTCATCGATGACATCGATATTGGGCGTCTGTCTCTCGATTATCTTCGTTCCCATATAAGTGTTATCCCGCAAGTACCCATACTCTTTTGCGGTACCCTTCGATACAATATTGATCCGTTCGTACAATTTACCGATGAAGAGTGTCTTACAGCGCTTGAAGCTGCTCAACTCAAATCAATGATGCGCAACCATCCCGGTGGAATGCATTTGTTGGTAGCTGAATCTGGCACAAATTTGAGTGCTGGAGAACGACAATTGGTTTGTGTCGCTCGAGCCATTCTGAAGAGAAGCCACATATTGCTGATTGATGAGGCTACTGCAAATGTTGACTATGCGACCGACAGGATGATTCAAGAAGTGATTGCTGACAAGTTTCGTGATCGTACCATATTAACGATTGCACATCGATTGAACACAGTAGCCAATAGTGATCGGATTCTCGTATTACAACAAGGAGAGGTTGCCTACTTTGATGTGCCTAGTAATATAAATCTAACTTAATACACTCGTGAAAGAACATGCAACTATATAAGAGCCAGTCCATCTAAGCCACGACTGAATCTGCTCAATCGAGCTCGTCAGGTTCTGGCCGATTTGATATGTGTAGCAGAGGAATGAGTTTTATCAACTCTAGCGAAAACCACTTGAAAAATGTCTCTGATATTTTATCAGTAAAGATGTACCCATTCCGATTCTGTCCGATTACAATTCTAATTTTTTATTCAAACACCTGAGAATCACTATGAAACTGACTAGAAGGTTGGTGAAAGTGATCGACAGTTATGTTAACTAGGCAGAGGATCATGAATACAACATGCCTTTCAATGGCTTCAGAAGCTCCAGTGAAAGTCTGTATAACCTGATCATGGACTTAATCGAGACGAAATGAAAATTGGCGATGGGCTCTCGATCTTCATGAATGAATGGGATAACTAGTTACCCACATTACACCTTCAGTAGAACTTTTCAATCCCGGCGCGCATTCAGAGGCGGCAATCAATGAAAAATCGCTACAGCAGGTGTAAAGTGGGTAACTAATTAGTACATTGTATGGTATCTCCAGACAAAGTTCTATTGAAATCCGTGTGATACTGCCATCAGCTGAGTGCAGTACGAAGGGAGTAACACAGAAATCTTCTTTGACTGTCAAGAATACATATGGTCGTGCAGAACATGTTTAGTGAGAGCATATATATTTAGTCAGCCAGAAGAGATACAAAAAATGGGTTAAGTTGTATGAGAAGAGTTGGATCTACTCCTTTGGCTGTTTGTGTACGTCAGCAGGAAGAATACTGTTCATGGCCAATAACTGATCGATCGTCCATGTGGGAAGCATGGAAAGTACAAAGAAGATATTCGACATCCATCCAGGTCGGTAGCGAATGCGCGGGACAGTGTTCATTACAGCATGTCGAAGTGCTTGGACAACTTTCTGTGGATTTTCAATGTTTGCTTAGAGCATTGTTCAGTTGTTCAAGTTCATTTCGAGTAAAATCTTCGCCCATCGCTCTTTGACATCGCTAGAGAGTCCGATCCACAAATCGCTTAGTAAACGATTTTGTCCCTCAGAAAGTGGAGTTTGCATGGGATCCGGTTCGATAATGCTGACACGCAAACTCCATGCGCTCATTTCCCGACGAAGACAATCGGAAAACGATTCCAAAGCATATTTAGACGCGCAATAGCTCATCGAGGCTCGAAAAGTGACGAAGCCGCCATTGAACAGACGTTGACCACTCGCGAATCTCGCTTAGCTATGAGCAATTGCAAGAACTGTTTTGTCATGGCAACATGTACGAAAAAGTTCACATCCATCGTTTTGCTAATAACTTGATTTTAAACTCGGAATTGATTCTATTACAAGTCCAAATCATTCACGTTCCTGAGAAACGCATTGGTCTACGAAAACGTACGTTGCCGAGAGAGATACACTAGGACCTACTCTGACTTCCATCGATATCGACGCATCTTTGTTGTTGCAAGATTCTGATGAACCGAGACCTAGCACTATGACACGATCCTAGAACAATCAGTCCGAATTCGTCTGAAAGTCGTATCTTGTTTTCAGCTGTCGTGAAGCTCTTTCCTTCTGTTACTGGCAGGATCCAGAGCCAAACTCAAAAGGGTCAGCTGAACTCAGGATCCTTGTCGATCCTCGAGGAATTCTCTCCAAGAAACTAGGATCTGAAGCTGGTTCATCGGTGATATTGTCTGGATCTCGTGCAATAACATACGGTTGTGTAGCATAATCCCAAAAAAAATCTCGAACGGGAAAATCTCGAAATAAAAATGGGAGTTATCTCAAAACAACGAATATTGTCGACCTACTATTGGATGACAACCGTCAATGATTTTCGGATTCTTTTAGCGTTCAAACATGACATGATTTGAGGGAAAAGAGATTGATCTATAGGGCTATCTCGAGGAACGCTTCTTACTAGTGAAAAACTCCTAAAGGACAACGATATATCGTTTTGTCAACATTGCCACAAGCTCCCGATCACAGTCATTCTATCCTGACTCGATTTGTACAATCAATTTTTGCATAGTGAAACACGTGTTTGTAAGTTTGTTTCTGTAAGGGAAAGACGCAGTCAAACGCATTCTACAAGACGACTACCGATTGTTCTCGCTGACGCATATGCTGAGAAAGCTATAGGCTTAGAACGGTGTTTCACCCAAAAGAAAAATTAACCATAAAGCTGATCTCGATATTTTTACTGTAATTGCTTCGAGATTTTCCTCTTACTTTTTTTCTTCTTAGATTTTCCTTTAGTCTTTTCATAATCGTGATAAAATACACATAATTGATAAACTACTATCAACCCCAAAATTCAAGGCACTCAGTTGTTTCCGAATAACTCTAAAACGATAAAAGATAAAGACTTGCAATTTTCAACAATCGAAAGGGGACAGTTTAGCCTATGTTTTCATAAGCAAAACCCTTTTGCGAAACCATTCGGAAGATCGGTTTTCTAGAATATCTTCGGAAAACCACTTCGGATCTCCGAAAACTGAGATAGAAATCTGTTAGTTTGCTTTTATAGATAGATAGTCCAAAGTGTCCTCTCCAAAATAGGAACTAAACTAACTCTTAATTTTTCCTAGTTCACACGTGGCATCGGATTTCCTGAGAGTCCGAGGATCAATATTTCTTTAGGTGTGGTAATTCCGAAAATAAATGCAGACATATGTAATCGACTACGCTGAATATCGTGGCAATATTTGTTTTTCAAAACAGTTCCAAAAACCTGATGAAAATCTATATGAGGTGAAATAACCCATTTTTGCCTATTTTTGAGTAATACTAAAAAATTCATAATCCAGTCAAGATCCATCCAAATTAAGCCCGAATACCAAGATGTACTCTATTTTACTAGCTTAATACTATGCAATTCAATAAAAACTTTGAAAATCAACAGAAAATACTTTGGTTCTTGAAAACGTTTTCTAGAAATTTTTCGAAGTACAAAAATGTTTTTTTACTGTTGTCAAATAAAAAATCGTATTGAGCAGGTAAAATAGAATACATCTTGGTATTCTGGCTTAATTTGGATGGCTCTTGACTGGATCATGAACTTTTTAATATTACTCAAAAATAGGCAAAAATGGGTTATTTCACCTAATGTAGGTTTTCATCGGGTTTTTGAAACTCTTTTAACCCTGATACGCCCACCTGGGGTCCAGCTGGACCCCAACGAGTTTCAAATTAATGTTATATGCACATAATATTAGATCGAATCATGCCCTTCATGATATGCCTTAGTGAAGAGTAGTAGAGTAAGCTGGTAACATCAGCTGCTCATTGCCATTCGTTGTTGATGTGATAAACGATGTGAAAGTACATGTAAACGCTTGTTGTCCACCCGGGATCCATGCGGACCTCAAAGTTGATAAGACAGGATTAAAAATCACTTTTAAGACACGGAACATTTTTAATAATATATTCGGATTCAGCCTTGAATGATGAATATTTTCAAAAAAAAATCAAGCATTCAGCATAAAATCTGTTGTTTTTTAATTTAATTTGAAATTTGAAAAATTCAATTCATTTAATTTTTCAATGTAAAATTCGAAAAAAATAAAAATACTCAGATAGGATAGAGATACACATCAGTCGACTCAGTTTTTGATTCTGGTTCCGAATATGATATTTTTATTGCTCAAACGTTGAGTTATGATAGAGAAAATTGAGAATTACGGGCAGAATTCTGAGTTTTTCTCCCTGATTTAGGAAAAATTCAGAGAAAGCCAGGATCACGTGATACGGAAACATTGTCAAACCCTTGCATGTGTTCAATTTTTATTTGTCTGTCGAATGACGTTTGCCCGAAGTCTGCAACGCTTGCCTGAGTTGAGATATTTTACTTTTCAAAATAGTTAAATTTTCAAATTTCAAATTAAATTTCAAAATACAAGTTTTATGCTGGAGATCTGGTTTTTTTATTGAAAATATTCATCATTCGAGACTGAATTCGAATATGTTATTAAAAATGTTCCATGTCTTAACAGTGATTTTTAAACCTGTTTTATCAACGTGGGGTCCGGACGGACCCCAGGTGGACAACAAGTGATAGGCCTATAGGTGGGCGTATCAGGGTTAAAAAACAAATATTGCCACGATATTCAGCGTAGTCGATTACATATGTTTGCATTTATTTTGTTTGCAAGTCTTTATCTTTTATCGTTTTGCAGTTATTCGTGGCGTCGATAGTAGAATGGAAAAAGAAATCTAAACGCTACTACACGAACGTTCTTCACAGTATTGGCTGTTTAATACCCATACCGTTATCATGGTAGATTTCGGAGGTTAACTAGCATCTCTCTGACTCCCGCTCAATTTAAGAGAAGTTTCCTTGACTTTTAGGAATTTACGTGAATTTGGATGAATTTACGTGAATTTTGAATTTACTTGAATTTAACGGACTAAATTCAGCTGTTTCCCGCTTGGTAAAATGAGATAGATGCAAACCAGGCCGATCTACTGAAGAGAACGACGTCATAAGACAGTGTATGGCATACAACTTTTTCTTCGCGGCCGGAACAAGAATTTCTTCGATTACTCTGTTTTGCGCATTCTTTGCAACTGGTGGTCAACGATGGCATTCGAGCATGTGGTCCTGCATCATACGCTCTTCGAAAGATGGCTTTGCTAGCAAAAGCTGCGCACAAGTCAACGAGGTTCGCCAAACTGCTGGAAAAGGCTCACGTAGTGATCCCACCAGCACTCAAGACTCTATGGAACTCTCAATTTCACACAGTGCGGACGGTGACAGACATTCTCGCCTCATTCTCAATCCTATCATTACTGAAGGTGAGGGATGAGGATCACGCTAGTATTCATCTACTCTTTCTCGACCACCCTCACCCACCCACCCCTCTAAAGTTCACGAATTATCTCCTGTTTTAGCTGAAATCGTAGTTGTCTCGTGATTTGTGCAAAATCTAACCTGCGCGTTAGAGATCCCACATATCGAGTGTTGAAGCGGAGATTCAGGGCT